GCCCAGTACAGCCCCCACCACTTGCTCACATAGCGGGTGGCACACAGAAAGAGATAGGTTGTGAGTGAGCAAAAATCTGGGAGACAGTATAACGTGGGGAAAGTTGACTATGCATAATGTTAAACGAGCATGAATTTATATCCACACTGTTCAAGCCCTTAATTTCAGAATTTGAAAAATGTTTTCTCAGCTCGAGTGTTCGAATTCCTCCCTCCTCCAGGTCAAGTGTTGCAAATTTCGAAAATTACAGTGGGTAACAAAATTGACCATGACCAATTATGACAAATTGGACCTCTAGTCTGGCTAAAGTGAGTTGTTCTGTATCACATTGAATCTGGTAACTGAAGCCTATTCAATTACCGAGACGCTGGCCACATTCACACTGAAAAATTAGAAGAATTGTACGTGATGAGAGACAAATGTGCCAAAGTCAATATTTTCTTTTCAGCAAATATGGCAATTTAAATCCGTGCAGGGAGGAAGTAATACCCAGCTTCCGTTTTCTTTATCCCACTTTTTAAATAAACACACATCCTTCGCCAGATGTTTTATCCTATTAACAATTAACAAGTGATTTCTCTTGCTGTAAGTGTGACTTGGAAAAATGGTTTGGAGACAATTTATTGGTGCACGTCAGTGGATAAGCCTTAAAATGAAAGAGGCTTGGGGGAATTCTGGTGTACGAAGTGAGGCCCCAGATGATTCACATCCTGACTTGGAACTGGAATTGCTGTTGCTTTATCCTGAATGTATCAAAATCGTGGAACTCCCTCCCGAACAGCACTATGAATGTTTATTAACCACACAGACCACAGCATTTCAAAAAGGCAGATCACCACCACCTTCTCAGGGGCAATGAACGATGGTCAATCAATGTTAGTCTCATCAATGGCAACCTCAATACAGGAAAGTATAAACCAAAGAAAACAAGCTTTTATTGCTCACATTTTGCAGGACTAAAAGCCAGTGAGGCAGGGAATAGCAAAACGATAGAACTAAAGGGAAAGGGAAAACAAAGCACTCCCTCTTCCATTCTCATGTGGTAAAACAATGGCATAAAAATTCAATAAAGTTTCAATGGTGAAAATTACTATACTACAACTGAAAAACAGAACCAAAAAAAGCCCTTTCTTGTTTTCAGTATCAGGAGGGAAAAATAGAAAATAAAGAGATTCCAGTCTCAGAAGCTCGAGTAAAAGGTTTTCTTGAGGCTCGTGCACGGAAAAGCACGTAATGTTTATGTAGCGATTGTAATGAGGTCCGCCAGGTGGACCTCATAGAATATGAGTTTCTTAATCGGGGCTGTTAATCTGGTCCAATCAGTGAGCCCTGGCTGACTGATGTGAACTGGAGTATCATACATCCTGCTCAGTCTGAGGGCTGGCTCTGAGGAAGCTGGATCAGTGTCGAGGACTTTCCACATGTAAATAAAGCATGATTTGGTGACAGGATACTGGCCTCTGTGGAGTTATTTCAGTTTACATGTCCTGTAAATATATATAAAACATGAATAATGCATATAAACACACACCATGGTTTTTTTTTTGTGCTCCCGGCAGTTCAGAAAAGGTTCACTTGATTAATTCCAGAAGTGGAAAGCTTGTTTTAGGAGGGGAGATAGAGCAGTTTAGGCTTATACTCGCGGAGTTTAGAAAGATGAGACGAAATCTATTTGAGGTATGTAAGGTGCTAATGGGGATTGCTAAAATGGACAGAATGGATGAAAACCAAAAAAACTGTGGATGCTGTAAATCAGGAACAAAAACAAAGTTGCCGGAAAAGCTCAGC